CCTGGATGTATGTGTTGCCTGGTCATGCCGGGCATCTGCTGTTACTTGCACACAGAGTGATACTGACTTGGAAATAAACAAGTTCATATACATTATTTTGTGTAAGACATTCAGGAAAAAAAACTGGAGAAAGATAATACGTTATTTGATATTTGGGCAAATAACATGCAATAGTATTTTTATCTGGATTTTGTCGTCAGCCTTGTTATATATAGATTTTTTCTTGTGTGTTACTCTTCAACTTTTCTTTGTTCCCAAACCTATGTTCCCACAAGTGTGGTAGCCATCATCAGAATCCCTTGTCCTCCTTCTTGGTGCTCTTTTTTAATATGCTTCTGAAAGGTAATTCTGTGTAGTGTTATCTTTTATAGCATTATTTTCTACTTTGCAACTCTGTAGCTATCCCTCCTGGTTACAGCTAGCGACGTATCTTATTAAAAATCTTTCTCTACAGCCAGTCAGCCAGTGGAGGGGGTGTCACAGTTTATCCATTTCAGTTGGTTGAGGAGCTGTAGTCCTGGGGTATCTATTTATAAGCTGTCCTAGTGACTTTAAAAAGGCAAGACAGGTTAGCACTCAGCAGTGAGGTCTCTGGAGACAGCCTGCAACGTCTCCAATCCTTGTCCACTGCTTACTTGCTCTTGGACCTTGAGCAAGACCTTAACCTTCCTGTCCCTCTGTTTCCTTCCGTAACATAAAGGTAATCATAGAACCTACCTCAGGGTGTTATTGTGAGTTCCGTATGTAAAAATGAGAGGATAGTGCCTGGAATATGAACCTTCAGTACATTTGCTATTTTTATAACTAAAGAATTTCCCAATTGTTTTTTCAAGGTATAATTTAGGCTCTGAGAAATCTCCTCTCAATCATGTTTTCCATTAAATCCCGAATATAAAATGTAGATTGCATATCCTATCACCCTCTTATCTTCTCCAGCATCTTCCTAAGCACAATTCTCTCCATAGACATTGTATTTTAAAGATCCATGCTTTGAGGAAACACGTGTACATGTTTTACATGAGTACTTCGAAAACGAGTGTTATCAGAGACACTGAGACTTAGAAGAACTGTTCCCTAATAAAACTTAGCTGCTTCAAACTTACATGAAAAAATGACGTGTATGAAACATTTTTTTATTATCTTTAATTTATTCTTCTAATTAGGATCTTTGGCGTTGTTGTTGGGTCTTGGAATATTGTTGTTTGCTTAACCACAAATCTTTCACTTTTTTTGTTTCTAGGAACTCTCTTCTCACAAGAAGCAAGGGCCGGGATTGCTCAGCAAGATGGGACAGACAGTCCGAGCTGTGGCATTTTCAATGAGAGGAGTTAAAAGCCGCCCGGAGGAGTTCATGGAGATGAATGAGTTTATTGAAACATTTAGCCAAAAAATAAATTTGATAGATAAAATATCTCAGAGAATTTACAAGGAAGAAAGGGGTATGTAGACTCACTGAAACGTGACTTTGAAGTTGTTTGATTTCTGATGGCTCTTCACATTTGCTAATGTAGCGAGAGAACATTAAGTTAGAGTTTCTTTTTGGTTCTTCCTTAGGATTTCCATCTCTTTGCTTCCAGTGCCCATCAGTACTTGTATGCCATTTACTTTATCCATAGTGCCCTTAGCATATCAGTCATCGGTGTTTTAAATTCCTGGTCTGACAGTCCCAGCATCCCTGCAATGTCTGGTTCTGACGCTTGCTCTGTCTCTTTAGATTGTGTTTTTTGCCTTTTAGTGAGCCTTGTAATTTTGTCTTGATAGCCAGACACATGTACTGGGTAATAGGAACTGTGTAAATAGGCCTTTAGTAATGTGGTAGGAGGTATGGGAGAGGGGAAGTAAGTATTCTACAGTCCTGTGATTAGGTCTCAGCCCTCCAGTGAGCCTGTGCCTCTGGGCTGTGAACTTAAAGTTGCTCAGCCTCCTGTCCCCCTTTGTTGGAACAGGTTGGCCAGAGTGGGCTGGAGCTGGGTATTTCCCTTCCTCCAGGTCAGTTAGGCTCTGACAATACCCCGCCAGGTTAGGCTCTGGTTAACTAGTTTCCCCGGAGGTCAGGTTTGGTTCGGAAGAACACAGCGCTCGGTGTACTTCGAAATGGCTCATTTTCCCCTTCCGCTGAACGAAGCAGGTGTCATTTTTATTCATTATTTACTGTGGGAACTTCATCAAGCTCCTAGAGGTAAATCTCACAATCTTGTGGGGTCCCCATGACTCGGTCCCCCCGCAGTTTTTACCTCTTAGAGTTGTCCACCCTGAGCCTTCAGAATTCATCCATTGCAGGTATAGGTCTCACTACCCCAGCACTGGTTCCGGCGGTGGTTTCTGCCCTTGAGTCTGTGCTCAGATAGGCACTGTTCCTCTTATTGGCCTGTCTGTCTTTCCATCATTGGGGGCAGACGTTTGTCCTGAGTCCTCCCCTCTCTTATTTACAGTTCCAAGAAAAGGTGTTGATTTTTCAGTCTGTTCAGCACTTTGCTTGTTAGAACCAAGTGGCGACTTCCAATCTCCTTATATTAGGGATCGCGTAACATTAAGTTAGAATTTCACCTTCAAAGTGTGGCTCATTCCCAGATGTATTGTGAAAATTTCTGACTCTGAATGATTTTGAAGGTAGTCATGGCCAGTCCCCATTTGTTTTAATCAATCACTAGCTGTTTGTTCTTGTTCCTATTTATAAATAATAGTAGTAAAGTGATCCCTGAGCTTGAGATTTGGGATGTAGTTGTACTAAGTTGGTCTCAAATGTTCAACATGGACCATTTTCTAGTGATTGGGGTGGGGGGGGACAAGTACTCTGTATTAGGTCTGTCCAAGCATGACAGAGAGACTTAGGTATTGGAAACTAGATCTTTTTTCTTATTTTTTCTAGCACCATTTCCTTTCCCTATTTTCTTTCTTTTTTTTTTTTTTTAGTTTATAAGTTGGACTATATTCCATGATGGTTTTTTTTCTAATTCTATGATAAGTTTTTGCTAAAGTGCTAATTGCATTTACCTATATTTTAAAAAAAATGGCTAAGNGGGTGTTCCAATATAGTTATTCATTGACTGGCTAAAAACTCCCTCACAGATGGTGCTGTGTGAGCTGGTGCATTGTTATGATGCTGCAAGAGCCATAGATTGTTGGCAAAAACTTCAGGTTGTCTAACTTTTTCACACAGCCTTTTCAGCACTTCCAAATAGTAAACTTGTCTAACTATTTGTCCAGTTGGTACAAATTCATAATGAATAATCCCTCTGATATCAAAAAAGGATAGCAACATCATTGCAACAAGTTTGCAAACTTAAATGTCAGAACATATACATAAACATACACACACACACACATACACACACACACACACGCACACACACCGGGGGTGCCAAAGCAATGTATACAAGTGAACACTTTGGTCAGCGTGGCTCAAGCAGTAGTTCACCATAATCAGAAGTGTCAGAACGCTGATGGGAACCACTTTGAGTACCTCTTGTAATTGCAGAAGTCAAACGTGACTTGTATTCATCTTTTGTTATTGGTATATATTGATTATAATTTTAATACAGTTTTCCTTTCTTAAAATGTGTATACATTTTTTTGGTACTCTGTGTGTGTGTGTGTGTGTGTGTGTGTGTGTGTGTGTGTGTGTATCTTCTAACCCTTTAGAAGTAGAATAAAGTCTTAGAGTAGGAAGAAAGAACACACTGTCCTCAAGACATAATTATCCTCTGTTATTGCAGTATGTTAGAGAACTCCTTTAGGTCAGTGACAGACTGATGAGGACAGAATCAACCATTGTTCGACTTGATTATATGTCTTTCTCTTGCCGGAATTTATATCAGATTGTTTTAGGTTTATTTAAAGTGTTGGAAATTCTTGAGGATATATAAAGCTCAATCTTATTTTAACTGCCCAGTTTTGAATGTTTTTATTGTTAGCTATGCCAGTTTTTGTTTGTTTTTTTTCTTGGAAATTGGTAGCGAACCTGTACGTATGTGCCTGGTACAAGGTTTAATAAATATTTTTTAATGAGGTACCCTAAACCATGTTTTGTGTGCATATGTATGTATGTGTGTATTTGTATATATAAGTCCACATACCAACTCATATGTATTGTTAAACTGTGTTTCTACTAGATTTAGTTTTTCTATTTTTACCATTTCTATAACTTGTACTGCTTTGCATAGTAGTCAAGATTTTGTGGTGTTTGGGAACATGTATTTCTTTAGACTTTTGCATCTTACTTACCTCTACTTTTTTCTACTAAAAAGGGAATGGTTTAGTAAGAGATATTGTATGATATTGTATCTGTGTTCTTCTTTTCATATGTCTTGGCATAGATTTTTGGTTTGTTGACAGCTGATATTTTAATATATTTGCTTAATTTTTAAGAGTTTAGGCATATAGCTCAGAATTCATTGAGGATGACAGGAATATTTTCTTTTCACATCAAATCTCCATTAATAACATTTTTGAAACAAGTGGTAAAATCACTCTGTAAAATGTTATAATTTTCATATACTTAAAGCAAAATTTTAGCAAAGCAATTTATTTGAGCAAATTTCAAGAAACCATTTTCTTCAGTTATGTTCATGTTATTTTCCAAAGTGCAATATAGGACTTTCCTCAAATTCTGAATTCTGATCATCTTGAGAAAAGAAGTACATTTGAAACCTAAATTCAGAACACGCTTTCTTGTTAGCAAGAAAGTCATGCCAAAGCTAATACTAGTCAAAATCTTGTGGAAGGCAGATGGTTGCTCTAAGACAGATTTTTCAGTTAGGATTTTAAATTTGAGCATGATGTTTGTTTCTTTCTGGGAATACTGGAAAGTTTGCTTTGTTTCATCTGCTACATGAATCGATGACGGCAAAAAAAAAATGTACAGGCTGACAAACACTGAATAATTAGAATTTGTTAATGTTTCTTAGAGACCCATTTAATTTAGAATGTCTAAAATAACATTAGGCAAATGTCTTCTGTCTTATTTTGCATGTGCTGTTATTTTCTCCTGCCTTCTTCAGACATCTCGTGGGGAATTTGATTCCAGTGAATTTGAAGTTAGGAGACGTTATCAAGATTTCCTTTGGTTAAAAGGAAAACTTGAAGAAGCACACCCCACTCTGATTATTCCAGTAAGTTTACATTGTTTTTTCCATAGAATAGCTCCCATTTTGTCTTGTGCATCATTAGAATGCCTCAAACTGAATTTCAGACCTTTATATTCAGTGTAATTCATTTATCTTTGAAACATTTGTTTTTTAAACTTTTCAATCTACATACTGATTTTTTTAAAACTATTGTAATATGTTAAGTTTGCCATTTTTGGTTTTAGCATTGTGAATTTAAAATATTTTTATGAGAAGTGATCACATATTCGGAAAATCTTCTAAAATGGAAAAGTGTAGAATCTCATATAATCCTGGTGACACATCATGCTCAGATACTGCTTTACAATTTTTCCGCCTCAGCCTTTGCCAGAAAAGTTTATAGTGAAAGGAATGGTGGAACGCTTCAATGATGACTTCATTGAGACACGCAGGAAGGCACTGCATAAATTTTTGAACCGAATTGCTGATCATCCAACTTTAACATTTAATGAAGACTTCAAAATTTTTCTTACTGCACAAGCACGGGTAAAGAATTTTGATTTATATTCAT